TCTATACAATGAAAACATGTTCTCGTTGAATATAAGAAAAGTAAAGAAAAAATGAGATGAACCTGATTTAGATCCAACAAGAGAAGGAAAGAGCAAAAAAGGAGAGAGCAACAATAAGGAAAGAAAGGACAAAAGAATGGACATCAAAGATTAAAAGAAGAGGGGGTGAGTGAGATGCAGGTTGTGGGTCATAAAGTAAGGGAGTCAGAAAGGATAGGTGTGAGAAGACAAGATGGAAAGAAGGGGATTTTAATTAAGGGGTATTTTAGGATTATTTATTTAGTTATTTAAATGAGGTTCAAATTGTAAAATTGAGTAACACCCTTAATAAGTGAAAAATGTCATATACCCAATACATTTGATGTGTAAATATTCATGGTAACAACAACAACACTACTATTAACAACAATACAATATAGTCCACCATATTATTCTTAGATGATTTGGGAGGAAGGTGTTAGATGATAACAAGGGAGGAAAGAGCTTTTGAGTGGGGTGTAGTTTAGGAATTTTAATTCATTTTGAAAAATGAGGTTTAAATAGTAAAATTAAGGGTGTCAATTGTAACGTCCATAATGTTGCGGAAACGTCTAGCAAATTTTAAACCAAAAGCAAAACAAGAAAGAAAGAACACCAAGAATTTAACGAGGTTCAGCCAATTATGCCTACTTCCTCGGACACTACCAAATATATTTCACTAAGAAATATTACAATAGAGAGAGAAGAGAAAACTACAAGCCTTAGAAGTTACAAATGAACTTGTAGTTGGGATGATCTCAAAGTGAAGGGAAGGGTTTCTATATATAGAACCTAAGGCACTACACATTCCCAAACCTATCCAATGTGGGACTAATTTGGTCACATCAAAAAAAACTTATTCGATGTGGGACTAAATTTGCCACACCATATTCAACAAATCTCCACCTTGGCAAATTTCATATTTTCAAATCTCTCATCTTTGATAGTGTCTACCAATGCAGTCTTCAAATTTTGATAATATTAATCAAGTCCAAACAGTGTTGGAACTTGATTGAATCTACTACCTTTGTCAACATATCAGCTGGATTCTCTGTGGTCCTTATCTTCTGGATAGCCACTCCACCTTCTTCGATAATCTCTCTTATGAAGTGGTAACGAACATCAATATGCTTCGTCCTTGCATGGTAAGTTTGATTCTTTGCCAACATGATTGCACTTTGACTATCACAATGCACCTTCACATGCTTTTGTAGAATTCCTAATTCACCAAGCAACCCTTGAAGCCAAATTGCTTCCTTCACAGCCTCTGTCAAAGCCATATACTCTGCCTCTGTTGTAGACAAAGCTACAGTTGACTGTAAAGTAGACCTCCAACATACCGGTGCTTTTGCCAAAGTAAAAACATAGCCAGTAGTTGATCGACGATTATCCAGATCTCCAGCATAGTTGGAATCACAATATCCAACCACATTTTGACCATCTTGTTCCTGCCGCATATGCCATAACTTGGCCGACTCCAACTCCTTCTCGTCACTGGATGCCACTGCTGCAGTTCCAATAATAGTAGTACCTTGGTAATAGTACAACCTATTATTTTTCCGAACTCCTTTCATTACCACCAGAGCTCCAGAGATTATCTTCATTACTCCACCTTCTGCGTGCACCGTGAAACCCTTCTCTTCTAAGGCTCCCACAGAAATGAGATTTCTTGATAAACTCGGGACAAAACGAACATCCTTCAAAGTTCTGATTGCTCCATCACGATTCTTCAATCGAATAGAACCAATCCCATGTGTGGTAAGAGGAACATCATTTGCTGTATAAACAACTCCTTCTTCTAGTTCTCTGAAATCATAGAACCATTCTCGATTAGGACACATATGATTGCTGCATCCCGAATCAAGAAGCCAAGCACTAGAAGAGCTGGTTGAACCAGAAACAGCAAGTGAACAATCTGAGTCATCAACATACTCAGCTACATTTGAATCTGCAACAGTCTTAGATTGACCTTTGTTTTTTAGTTTAGGACAATCTTTCTTCCAATGCCCCTTTTCTCGACAAAAGGCACACTCATCTTTCCCAACTTTAGCCTTCGACTTCGATCGCTTCTTCTTTCCTTTCGCCTGGATCACCGGACGTCCTCTTGCAACCAAAGCTTCATTAGCCTTCTCTGAGCTATCTTTTTTGTCTTTTCTCCTCAGTTCATAGCTGTATAGGGCTCCACAAACTTCATTTAGAGACACAGCAACCTTCCCATGGAGTAGAGTTGTTTCCAGAAACTCAAACTCTTCAGGAAGTGATCCCAACAACATTAGGGCAAGATCCTCATCTTCAAAAGTCACGTCCAGGTTTAACAAATCAGCAACAAGCTGATTAAAACTAGTGATGTGATCATTCATTGTGGCACCAGGAATGTAAGTGAACCGAAACAGCCTTTTCTTCATGTGAAGTTTATTCTGACTGCTTTTCTTCAAGAACTTTTCCTCCAACTCCGTCATCAACTTACTAGCAGAGGTCTCTTTGCAGAATGCATACTTCTGCTCTCTTGATAAGCATGACCTTATTGTACCACATGCCAATCGATTGAGGGTCTTCCAATCTTCCTCTCCCATACTTTCTGGTTTCTTTCCTTCAATTGTAATGTCTAGACCTTGCTGAAAAAGAGCATCTAGAACCTCACTTTGCCACATGCCGAAATGACCGCTGCCATCGAAAATCTCTACCATCAACCTTGGATTCCCACCAACAGCTCTTTGCAAAATGCTTGAAGAAGCATTCAAAGTTGATGATGTAATTCTAAGTGGATTTTCTTCGTTTGCCATCTCAGCTCAATTCGAAAAGAGTGTTTAAAATTTGCTAAATGTCAAATAATAAAAATAGGTCCAGGATTAAGGAAAAATTTTCTGATGTGCCGACTATAGAATACCTACAGCGCACAGAGCATAGTGTTTTTTCCTTAAAATAACCTGGCTCTTGATACCAATTGTTGCGGAAACGTCTAGCAAATTTTAAACCAAAAGCAAAACAAGAAAGAAAGAACACCAAGAATTTAACGAGGTTCAGCCAATTATGCCTACTTCCTCGGACACTACCAAATATATTTCACTAAGAAATATTACAATAGAGAGAGAAGAGAAAACTACAAGCCTTAGAAGTTACAAATGAACTTGTAGTTGGGATGATCTCAAAGTGAAGGGAAGGGTTTCTATATATAGAACCTAAGGCACTACACATTCCCAAACCTATCCAATGTGGGACTAATTTGGCCACATCAAAAAAAACTTATTCGATGTGGGACTAAATTTGCCACACCATATTCAACACATAATACAGTGCAAAATGCCATATACCCAACACATATTAAATTTAAATATTTATATTAAAAGCAACAAGAACAATAACCACAACAATAACACTACTATTGAGAATGGTGCAAGACAACCCAATATGTTATTCTTAAATGGTTTCAGAGGAGGGGTGTGAAAAGATAATAGGGGAAGAAAGCGATTTTAAGTAAAGGGTAGTTTAATAATTTTAATTCATTTTTTAAAAGAAGAGATTCAAATAGTAAAATTGGGAGTTCGAATAGCAACATCCTAACACATACAATTCAAAATGTCATATACTCAACACATTTGATGTTTAAATATTTGTGTTTATGACAAGAGTTACATGATGTGGATTGGCCATGTTCATAAAATATATAAGTGTTATCAAGGTTAACGGGAAAAACTTGTGATTTAGTTAGGATATTTGATGTTACATCTTATTTTGTAAGTTATACAATACATACTATATATAACTTCATACTTTTCCACCAGACCAAAGTATTCGTGGATGTGGTGATTAGAGGTGTTAGTGGTTTAGTTAGGTTTGGTTTTTGGCTTAAAAGTCACCCGATCCAAAATAAGAAAATTAAGTGCAATGTGTTATAATTCAATTTAAATGTATTATGAAATTTGAATCAAACCAAGCAAATCTTTTTTTATTTTATTTTTTTAATTATTAAAAAATTAAATATTTATCAATTCTATATGACACTTTAATTATTAAAGCACTACATAATTTTTTTTTTATAATTATTGATAATCTTAACCTTTGTTATGCATGTCCCAAATTTCAAAAATGAACTACAACATAAATAGACAAAACTTAAATCACTACAACAAAATACATAAATTAATGAAAAAATGTTAATAAATTTAAAGTAAAAGTCATTAATCTTATAGCAAAAATAATAGATGAACTTAAAGTAAAACAATCACATATTTTTTACATATTACATGTTATCAATCATTGTACATATGTATAAATGAATAAATAAATAAAATATTTGAATATGCAAATTATATTATATTCAATATTTGTATAAATAACTATTTTAAACATATAATTATATTTTTTTAATTATGATAAATAATTTATATAGTGATACAATATTATTTTAAATTATTTTAAAATATTAAAAATTAATTAGAAATAAATATTCTATGTTATGAAATAGATAAGACATTAAAAACTCCCATAAAGTTCTCTTATTCAAGAAAAACACCTATAAGTGTTCTTATTAAAGTAAAACTCTTAAAAACACTATTGTATGTAAGATAGTTATTCTTATTTATATATCTAGAGCGATTAGTCACTACATTTAAAAAAAAAATACTTACATATAACTAGCAGTTTGGTTTGATTTGGGTTGGTTTACATTACCAAAGAACAAATTGCATTGAATCGCTTGGTATAGGAAAATAAAAAAAATTAAACAACATCGCTAGTTTTTTTCTATCAATTTTTTATTTTTTAATTCATTTTTTGTTTTACGTTTTGATTGATTAGATTTTGAACACCTCTAGTAGTGAGCTGGAGTTTATTCATATATACAATAATAAATTACCTTTATTTTAAAGCTAAAAGGGTCCACTTCATATTCTTTGCAATAATTTCTTGAGAATGAAACGCTCAAACTTTAAATTGCTTTCATCGCTTACTAAATAGATAAAAGTGAGTATCATCAAAGCCAATTTCAAAGAAGAGAAAAATTTTAAAAACATGTAGAAAAGAGGGGTAAAGAAAGAGAAAGATAGTTGCAATCAACAAAAGGGAGAACATGCAAAGGATTCAAAGAGATGAAGGCACTCAAGGTAGTTATCATCCCTCTCATCAATGTCCGCCTCGACTAATATCAAGTACATTTATATTCCTTCAGTTCATCTTCATGTTATTAACAAGAATGGTAAATTGGATTTTTTTTATGAACATATTTCCAATTGTTAGGTTTTTTCCTAAGTTAATAAAATGATTTAAATTAACTTTCAATATTATAGCATAATAGGTTTTAGTAAGGGTGGGATTTAGGGGGGTTCGATCGGGTTTGAGCCTAAAATGTCCAAACCGCTGTAAACCAACTCGTAGAAAAATATAACCTATTTTTGAAAATAATTCATCCAATTTGAGGTGGTTCAGGTTGATTTGGGTTTGGATTTGATTGGGGTTACTTCAGATCTGGTCCAATTGACAATTATTTGGCACAAAACTAAGTCGGAACAAGTAGACGAAACATTCTTAAAGTAAAGAACTAGAAAAAATGATATTTTTATAGACATACATCATACATGCAGAATGAATCTATTGTTCGAGATATTAAAAACTATTAAAAAAAACTTATTTTTTAATTAATTAGTTTTTAGGGATAAAGCGAAAACTAATTATTTCTTCTACATACTTCTATTTCAATCGAGCAACTAAACAAATGTTGAATTATCCTGTAACGATTTTAGCCTAAGTATTATTTTTTTTTAGCTTATCCCATTTTTAAACATGTTATCAATTTCACTCTTATTTGAAACCATCCCATACATATTCAACTCAATTTTACAAAATCATTAGCTATATTTTACATAGCCATAATACCATCCTTTCAATGGGCAAGCCAAGTTTTATTACATATTTTATCTTACTACTTGGTAGTCTTGTTATGGAAACAATATGTTTCCTAAATATAACATGAGACATTGATCAAAAGGAACATTGAATCACACTTTTCTATTTAAGGCTAAAATCTTTTCTATTGTTCGACTACCTCAAATTCCCAAAATTTTCCCTTGTCCGTAGTATGGATGGTATTTTCTATAAAAGGAATGTATGGTTGTATTTGTGATTTTAATGTTTCAACAAAAGATTTCATATTACTTTTATATGGCAAAGACAATATAACAAATTAATATAAAATGATTTTCAAAAGAAGAGATTTATCTATTAAACTTTTATAGGATCTATGTTTTGAAGAATACTGTGATTTGTTATTATAAATATCTCTAATAAAAATTTAATCCACATTGTTAATTGAGAACGTATAAAAATAAAAATATATTTAAATTTGTGTTCATATTTATTTAAATATACAAAATCTCTTAAATATTTTGCTTTTATTGATACAGGCACAGGGCCAAAACATTCAATAGTCCAACGTAGGAAAAGGAAAATAAAAAAAGATAACGATGATGAACAAGAGGTAGCCGAGCTTTCAAGTGATCTTTTGGAGTTTATTTCTAAGCGTCTTGATGTTGTAGGGTTTTGTGCATTTGGTGTTGTTTGCAAGAGCTGGTGGGAAGTATATGTTAGATCTAGAGAAGATTTCTTGGAATCCGTAGCACCAATGGCAGTGCTCATATCATCACATGCTAAGCGTTCAGTCAATCTATATGACATGGCCAATGGAAATACAAAGAAGGTTATGCTACGTAACCAATTTGTTGGAAAATTCTTTGTTGGGTGCTCTATAGGATACATGACTATTGAAGATTGCAGAAATGGTGAAATTTCCCTTATAAATCCTCTATCTGGACATGAACTGAATTTCAATTCACCTTCTTCTGCCCTTCAAGGTAAACCTCTTCATGACCTCATCATCTTTATTCCAACTTTGTCCTTCAGAAATCATTCCATCCTTACCGTTTGCAATAGCACACATGAAATCCAGTTCTTTCATTCTAGACATAGTCGATGGTTTACTGGTCGGTTTTTTGGGCATCCTTGGACAGACATAGCTTTTTTTAAGAATCAGATTTATTTTGTTACAATGAAAGCTCGACTTGGGAATTTAACGATTACTGAATCAGGCATTGATTTAAATTGGTTGGTAGTGGAAAACACCCCTGATGTGAATGCTCAAAATATGAAGTTGGTGGCTTCAAATAATCAACTTTTAATGGTTGATTTTGTTCCTAATAGGCATTTAAATATTCACAAAATAGATTTCAATTCAATGGGATGGGTTAAACAAGATAAGTTAGGTGATCAAGCTCTGTTCTTTGGGGGAAACTGGGGCCCTTCAATAACGAAACCAGGTAAGTGGGGAGGCCAAAGTAATTGTGTGTATTATTTGGAGGCTTCATCTAGCATGTGTTATATATATTCAATGGAGGCAAAATTGATTGAAAAGTTTTCGCTTGTTGAAAACCCTACTACATCAAAGCTTTACTCTGAAGGTTGGTATTATCCACACCAGTGCATGAAGATAGATTATCATATGGATGACAGAGCAATGTGAGCACTAGATAAAATGTGCATTCTAAAAGACTCTGTAATTTGTTTTCCTATTTTCTTCAATTTCTTTTTATCTTTTTCATAAACTATTTATACATTGTCTGTAATTGTGTCAAAAACAATATATTTGGCTATGTAATATCAATATTGTGTATGTTTTAAGATGATTTTTCATTTATTTTAAGACAATATACTTTGTCGATTAGAAGTAGAAAATGTAGTCAAATATGATTCCTTGTTTGCGTAAAATATGTTTTCATTTATTTGCCATATAAGTATTTTTATTTTAGTACCACCAATTTTTTTAAATAGTCACAATGAACCACCATTTATTGATGAGATAAAATGTATTGTCATTCCATATAAGGCACCACCTTAGAGAATAATTGCTAACGTGACAAGTAGGGATGGCAACGGGGCGGTGCGGGGCGGGTACGGGTTTCATGATACCCGTCCCCGTCCCCACAAGTCAAACTCATTCCCGTCCCCGTACCCGTACCCGTCGGGTATGTGATTTTCATCCTCATCCCCGTCCCGTCAGGTATCGGGTATACCCGTACTTGTACATGTACTCGTCAAATTTTTTATTTTTTATTTTTTTTAAAAAATATAATATTTTTAAATTATTTTTTTAATTATATTATAATTATAATTAGGTTATTTCTTTATATCATATTATAATAAATAATCACACATAAAAAAAATATTAAAATTCTTTAATATAATTAAATTGAAAGTG